TATTTTTACTGCCACTAGTGGTTTTTGCCAATGGATCACAAGTACAAAAAGAGTAAAAATGATTTCTTTTTTTTTACTATCATCAATGGTTCTTGCCAACTTATTAGTACATAAAAGTGCATTTTTATCAAGGTTTTATATCATTATTTTGCACTTGAAGTATGAATAACTCCTTAACTAAAGCATGTTTTATAATAACATATCTAATAATATAAATGTTTTATAATAACATACCTAATAATATAAGATACCTTTAATTTTTGGTATATATTCATTTTAAATGCATGGCTATCACATAAATAAAATGATTGATTGATAAATTTAAGTACTAAAATTAAAAGGATAAATAGATGACCAAACCTAAAAAGAGATGCTGGTGCAATCCAAACTAGAACACTGTTCTGTAATTAGGTCATATCTGGAGCTGTAATTCTCGAAATTAGGTCTACTTTATATGGATGGAAAGGTAACACATAAGCCTACAACTTTCATATGGAGCTCAAGATTTAAAAAGATCATTTTAAAGTCCAAATTATAGCCACAGTAAAGAAATCTGAATCTATCCTTCAACTCGAGCGCTGTTCAGTGTTTGGCCCATATCTAGAGTTCTAGAAGTCCAAATGACCTCAATTATTTACCCTAGAAAGGTGAGACAATTTCCTATAACTTTCATGTTTCAAGTAGTTCCAATTCTGATATTATCAATGATGTTTTGGGCAGGCCTATCACATAAATCAAAGGATTGATTAATGAGTTTAGCTACTGAAATTGAGAAGACAAAAAGAGGTGAAGCTTAGAAAAGAGATGTTAATTCAATTCAAACTAAAATATTGTTAAATCATTGGGTCATATATGAAACTGTAGATCTTGGATTTCAATTTGGTTTATATGACTAAAAAGCTAAGATATAGGTCTAAAATATTCATTGGAATACAAAACTCAATTTTGTTGTTTAGAAGTCCAAACTTAGCAATAATAGAGAAGTCAGAATCTGTCTTATAGCCCAGACATTATTTAGTGTTTAGCCCATATCTCGAGTTCTAAAAGTTCCAATGACCTCAAATTTTCTTTTGTTGGAAAGCTGAGTTAATTTTCTAGAACTTTCACGAATCAAGTTTGTTCAAATTCTGATGTTAGCAATAACGTTTTGTTTAGACAAGAATATAAGGATTGTCATCCCCAAGTCAAGATGTGGCTATCTCCTCAATAATTAGTCAGCAAATTAATAGTTTTTAATTTTGGCTTATAAAAGGAGGCATTTTCTAAGCATTCAGACATTTTGGTTTTTAGATCAAGATCATGCTCTTTATTTCTTTCTTTATACTTTTGTAATACTTAAGTTTTACTTTCATTAATATCTTATTTATCCCTTTTATTTTCTTTCCTTTACTTAGTTAACTTATATTTTATTTATGTTTTAATCTTGTTTATTTATGTTTCCCTCTTTGATTATGTTTAGTTAAGTTTATTATATCAAGATAAAAAAGTTACACTAATGGTGGGTGAAAATGTTATACTAATGGTGTAAGAATAAGTATAATATAAACTCAACATAGACCTTAATATTTAATACTAACATATTTTATATTTGTTATCTTATTTACTCTTAATACTTTGCTTATTAAATGTTTAATCTAGATTTATATTTTATAACACTTGGTATAACAAATACTTGACACTTTCATAGCCCAATCGTATGGTATAACTGGCATCTATGCTATGAAAGGAACTTGATTTGTTGTTAATATAAATTATAATCATGAATACCTGACAATATTTACAAGTATTAACATTATTCGAATAAGATAACTAATGTAATCATGTTAACAATTTATAATCCAATTGGAACCTTTTTTGTGTGTGGTTTCCAATTGAGTAATAACAAGATTTTATTCTATACTTGTTTGAAAAACCATTAATGGATCATCTAATCTTGATATTTATTTTTATATCATTGTTTAATCCTTAG